AGAGGGAAAGATACTCATCCTGTACTCCCACCCTATCACATCACCCTGAAGGTTGTGTTAGAGCTTGTACAGAGGCAGAGGATAAAGAAGGAATTAAAAATTTAAAGACAAAATTGCTATACTTTGTAGTTAACCTTGCTTTTAGCTTCTCCTACGTGTGAACCAAGCAGCTGAGGGTTAGCAAGGCCTGAAATGGAAAGAATTAAGCCTATCCCTCTATTTTTCTTCATGCCAAATCCCAAGGACAGTTTAAGAGAGGGAGTGTTTCCTCACATGAAGAAACTGCCCACCAAAAAGGCAGCATTACTTCTCAGCCAACTCTTTTTTACTGTGTCCCCTCCCTTTGGGGGCTGAGGGCAGGTGTCTGCTTTGTGACTCTGCTCCCTAAGGTCGTGGTCCTTACCATGTTCCTGAGGAATGATAGATCAAATAAGAAAGGAGAACTCTGCATAGCAATAGATCCTCTTGGGTTACTAAACTTATCCACTCTCCTAAATCTGTTGGAGGATTAGTAGTACTTAAGGGAGGACATATCTACCCCTTTACTTCCTCTTTGTCCTCTTCTCCTTCCTCCAGTAACCTCAGGTCACCCTGTTGGCTCAGCCTGAAGGTGAGCTGTACCCCTGAACCCCAGTAAGGCTGTTTTTCCTACAGGCTGGCTCACAGTGCTTCATTTTGGTAGATTTGCACAAGAAAACACACAATAGAGATGTGCTGGAGGGGTATCAGCAGTCAGGCCTCTCAAAAAATTTAGGTGGACAAATGTGTGCCCTAAGTACTTCTGAACTGTGAGAATTTTGTTCTTTACTGGGTATCTTGGTTAAATGATGACTTGTATTGAAACTATTAATACCATTAATGTATGTGCAAGTATGAATTCCCTGATAACATCAGTTGATGCCTTAAAAGTACACACAGAAATACATTGCAACCCCTAAAAGTTGCCATTTAATCTGTTGTAACATTTTTAAAGGCTTTCTAAGGTTCTTAAAGTTCAAAAGATTTTTAGAAGTTACCAATTTTACTCATTTTCCAAGTTGTTAACCTCATAATTCTTGCTCTGAGTTGTGTTAAACATGTCATATCATGTTAAGATCTTGGAAGTGTGTTCTTTTAGGGTGTTTGACTAAAAATTATGTAGATAATCCTTTGCCTGATAGTTTCTTACATGACACTATGATGAGATTTTCAGAGCTGAGCAGGAGTTACTCAGTACTTTTTTATCTAATGCCGGTTTTAGAAACTCCTTTTCCACCTCACTTTTTCAAATCTCAGCCAATGTAATTAGTTGCATGTAATGATAGAACAATGCAAAAAAATCTTGTATTTTGGTATTTGAAGTAGGCATGGTCATACCTGTCACTTAAAAAATCGCTCATGTCACTCTACTGTGTCTAAGTTCTGGTTTTGTGTGTCGTCAGCTCGTACTAAAATCAGTATTTGCCAGGCAGTGTTCCATGGCTGGATCACATGTGTAGACCAGCAGTTTTTCCTTGATCACATGCATTGAGCAGCAGCTTTTCATGAACTACAGAAGAGGAGGAGGGTTATTTCTCTTACATATTAAAGAATATTCTGCTGCTTCATTAAGGATAAAGGTGGAGCCCTTTGCACTTGGCTTTTTCTTGGTGGTAAGTGCAGACAAGTGTTAAGTGGTCCTGGCTCCCTTGGGAGTCCCTGGTGCTGTCAGCACCCACAGAGCCCTGACTCCTCATCATCGACTGTTTTCTGCAGGAGCCAGGAGAGGCAAATCACTGCAGATTTCAGTGTAGGAACAGGTAAGAATTGATCCCAGTATCCTGCTGGTTCTAACACGCATTCTATCAGAACTGGGCAGGGTGGGGACAGCGCAACAGCAAGGCCAATTACAGGGAGAAATTTATAAGAGTGACAGGACTCTTTTATGCATTTATACAGGCATTTAACTGTAGACTTCAGTTTATCCAGTGGCTTGAGCAAGAACCATGCTTTTCCTTTGGTTGATTCCCAGGCTATGCAGATGTAGTGGGTGTATTTGATAAACAATGTAAAGAAGATTGTCTATCATTATGTACAAAGCTCACGCTCTAGAGGCATTCTTCAGTCTAAATTTAGATTCACACTCAGGCTACAGCTAACACTTGAACAAACCCTGCAGAGTAGTGAGTGTGCACAGGCAGGAACCATGATCCACCTTGCTGCCTTTGCTGATAAAATTCCTCTGTGAGGCTCCGGTGCTGTGGGCAGCCAGAAGGGATTGTGCCCAAAAGAAAAGCACTGCATGGGTGAACCTTTCCTGGTTATTCCTGGCTATTTCCAAAGCAATATGCTTTTAGATGAAGTCAACACTGGTGGTGTTGCCAGGTCAAAATGTGAGTAACTCATAAGGAAGATGTTATGTGCAGTTTATTTGAAGTATGTTGGGAGAAAGCTTGAAGTAAATCACAATAAATATGAGTGGCAGTAAAACAGAGATTCAAGCTGAGTTTTTCAGGATCAGACTTAAATTCTCAAAGAATTTCTTCTTGAGCTGAAGAGGGATTATTATGGATCCATGTCCACCTCTGCATGCATCATTTTCTTTGCCTTCCTGCTGCATTTCATTGTGTTGGTACAGACAGAAGAATTAATAGATTTATTTGTGTAGTTTGTGGGATTATAGAAATCAGATGCTTATCCTTTCTACCGTATGTCTTAAAATTAATCGGCTGCATATTGGGCATGCTGTAGTTCTTCTGTTCTCCTGGACAGTAGGAATATTTGGCTTGTATTTCCTGCCCTTATCACCTGCTGAGACTTTGAGACTGCAGCAAAAGGAACAAGTTGCAAGGAAAATCCTTATTAGATTGTGAGAAGAATTACCCACAGAGAGAATGGTGAAGCACGAGGACAGAGAGTCTCTATCCCACCATACTAAACTGTAGCAGGCCCTGAGTAGTGTGATCTAAGAAGATTTAGCCATGCTTTGAACAGGGGGTTGGACCAGATAAACTAAAAGAAGACCAAACCCTTGCTCCTGAGGCTGGTGGTAGAACCTGGTTTGCACCTACATTACTTAGATGTAACCATGTCCTGCCCCATCATGCTTGGACCTGGGGCTCCTCCAACCTTTTGGCAATGTTCTTCAGTCCCCAAGATTTTTTGTTTGTGGGTTTGTTTTTTTTTTTTTTTTCCCCAGTTTTACTTGAAGTAATGTAATAGAAGCCCCTCAAAGCAGGGTTTACAGGACAAAACTGTTTTGGGCCTCAGGGTGGGAGATGGAGCCAGTCCAGATTGGGCTTAGCCATTCTGGGTTTGGAGCAGCCCCTGAAGTAAATGATTTCTAGGCTTCTGCTTGTGCTTTTCTGGCCAAGATTCAGGTAAATCAGTCAAAAGCAGGGCCAGGAAACACATTGACACTCCAGCACAGGCTCAGTGGGACTTGAGCCTGCTCCTGGGGCATCCTTTCCCTGTACTGTGGATGTTCCCTGTGTTGTCTCATGTTTGCCAAGTACCTGAACTAGGAGTTAGTTATCTGGAATGTGCTTCCTTGGACGTTTCAAAGCTGGGCTTGTGCATGGCTGCATGTGAACCAAGCAAATAGAGGAGTGATTGTGTCCTAAGCAGGCAGTTTGGGATTTGCACCGAGAATCCTATAGTGTCCTGAGTCAGAAAAACTCCACAAGGATCATCCAGTCCAACTCTCCTTGCAGTAAAAATAGCAAGAGCTGGTTGTCCTGGTCCAGGACATGCCTCTGCTTTGACATGAGCAATGCAGCATAGAAGAACATGTTGATAAACCAGGATTGTTTCTTTTTGGGGTGTGTGGATATTGGTTCAAGAATATTTCCTCATTTTAATTCCTTGCTGGGACAGGAGTGGATGGATAGTTAGTGCTGCTCATTTTAGATGGATCATCTGGGAGTCACTTGATTGCTGTAAACAACAGATGTGCCTACATCAAGCTATGCAAAAGGGTCAAATGTTGGGATTTTGGAGGAATCCTGGACAAGCTGTTTCCCTCTCTAGTAATGAGGAGCTGTGTTTCTGCCTGGGGTTGGACATGTAGTAAAAAGCGGTCATTGCACCTCCTGGTCATACCCCGTGCTTCCCAGCAGAGACACACATTTGGATGTGTGTATTAAGTTGCCAGCTCATCCTTGAATAGCAGCTTCCAGTGAACTGTAAATGTAACGAAAACATGCTGGAGACAGGAATTTGAGGAAGGAGGAATTCCACCCAACAGAACTGCTGAGACTTGAAAATCAAGCTAGGTTTTCTTCTGGCAACTTCAAAGCAGGGAGCTCTCTGTAAATGCAGGCTCAGGAATGACTGCAGCAGCTAATCAAGGGCTGTCATTCTCTTCAGCAGCTCATGGGGCTGTAGAACAAACAGGGAGAGTTTCCTCTGTTAGACTCAGGAAAACAAAGAGATGCTGCTGAATAAAGAAGTTATTAATTCTCTAGAACTCTTAGAACTCTGCTTTTGCAATGATTACCTCTGTAACTGAGCTGCTTTAGTCTGGCTCCTGGAGCTGCTGCTTTCCCTGCTCATCCCTGCCCCTAGTGAGGCCTCATTGTGTTCACTGTTACAGCCTTCATTCACTGACATTTTGAGGACCAGTATAACCTAAGTAAATACACAGCTTGCCTTGCTTAGAGGGATTTGATGCTGTACCTAAAACTACCACAGATCCATCATTTCAGCATCCCAGTTGTGGGAAGGGGACTGTGTGGGGGAGTGAAAGGAGTGAAAAGTGAAGTTTGAACAAATTCAGAGGTTGTCCATCTAGGAACTCTGAGTTACAATTAATTTTTGAAAGTTCCGAAATTAATTTGTTTTCATTCACAAATTGAAGTTACCCTGAGCTTTAAGGTGTGATTGCTCACAGCATGGGAAGTGCAACCCAGATACTGCCTGCTGCCAGTAAGCTGCCAATGAAGGTTGTACATTTGATTAAAACACCAACACAATTTTTTTTCTCTCTTCCTTTTCCCTTCGATCCTTCCACACCCTGGACATCTTCTCCCATCCTCCCTCAGGCCTGTATTGATGAGAACCTGGACATGGTGAAGTTCCTGGTAGAAAATGGAGCCAATGTGAACCAGCAAGACAACGAGGGCTGGACCCCTCTTCATGCAGTGGCATCATGTGGCTACCTGAACATAGCAGAGTGAGTGAGTCTGGGGCTATTCTGGGAATTTATAATACTTCCCTGTGCCTTTCTATTCAGAGCAGGTACACAGGTGATGAATACTCTAAGCCTTTTACAATGCTTTGGAAAGCAATGCTGAAAATAGGTGCTTTTCTCTTGGTAATGAATTCTGAACTTCTGAGGATTAAGGTGAAGCCTTCAACTGGTTGCCTTTTGCTGCTGCCATTAGACTGTCTTATGATTAATTAGATACTTTAGCTAAAATGCCAACGAAAAGGAAAATGGGTCAGCTGATACAGCAATTTGTAGTAAAGGGGCTCCTCCCTGTGAGGGTGGGGAGGCCCTGGCACAGTTTTCCCAGAGAAGCTGTGGCTGCCCCTTGCCTAGAATTGTCCAAGGCCAGGTTGGAGAGGGCTTGGAGCAGCCTGGTCTGGTGAAAGGTGACCCTGCAAGAGTAGGACTGGATGGGCTTTAAGGTGCCTTCCAACACAAACCAGGCTGGGATTCTGCGAGTACATTTCCTTACCACAGACTGGTGTGAGCAGTGCTGTGGTTAAGTGGCTTTAAATGGGAACTTTCAAGTTCAGCTGTCAATCCACCACCACCAATACGTTCACCACTAAGCCTCAACTGTCACATCCACTCGTTCTTTGGACAGTTCCAGGGATAGTGATGTCACGACTGCCCTGGGTAGCAAAGAAATGTCCCCTAATCTCCAACCTGAACCTCCTCTGGTGCAGCTTAAGGTCATTTCCTCTTGTCCCGTTCCTTGTTCCCTGTCTGCTACCTGGCTGCACCCTCCTGTCAGGGAGTTGTGGAGAGTGAGAAGATTCCCTCTGAGCCTCCTTTTCTCCAGACTGAACACAAACCCTTTATTCTTTACCAGTCATACTGTGCTTATATATTTAGTCCACCACAGCTACCAGAAAGTTTCCAAAATTTGAATTAAGATAACTATTTCTTAAATGCATTGAAAATAAATTATAAAACCAGGCAACCTCACCCTCCTATATTTGTGTGCTTTAACAGATACTTCTTTTACTTCTCAAAATTCTGCTGATTAAAAGATGTCTGCAAACCAAAGAAGATGTCTGTTGTTCTTCAATGAACTTTTCGTGAAGTTATAAGAGGATAAATTTAAAAACTGATAATCCTTGATGAGGCTTTTTTAAAAATTAGTAAAATTTATTTTTCTTAAAAAAAACCCCAATAGGATAGTCAACCAGATTCATGTAATAACAGGGGTATTTAAGTAACTGTGGAGAAAGAAAAGCTGTGAACCTCTGAGCAAGGACCTTGCATTTACAATGAACATTTTTAATCTAGAAATTGGCTAAGAATAAGGTCCTCATTTAGTAATTGAACTTGCATGAGAAAGGCAAATACTTTGTGGTGCTGTTTGATGCTGTGTCCTTGCTCTGAAGCCAAGCACAGGAGGTGTGACGTGCTGGCCTGGGTGTCCTTGGTGCAGGTATCTGATCAGCCATGGGGCCAACGTGGCTGCTGTGAACAGTGAGGGGGAGGTCCCGTCCGACATCGCGGAGGAGGCGGCCATGAAGGACCTGCTTCTGGAGCAAGTCAAGAAACAAGGTAAAGGAACAGCTTGAATATGTGAGTCAGGACCTCTAAGAGTTTCTGTATGAGAATTCTGCTGCCTTGCTGTCTGTTGGTGAAGAGATCTGAGATCTGGCTCAGGAAGCAGCAGACAAATTTTGCTTTGCTATCAGGACAGTGGAGCAGATGCAGGAGGTTTGTCATGTCTGTCCTTGGAATTCTTCAAAGCAAGGCACCGTAATCCTGAAATCTGATCCATCAGATCTAGTTACTTTTAAAGTGAGATTTAATTCTGACCTCTGATATCAATGAAAGGTCTTGTTTCACTAAGGCTTGATAAAACCAAGGTGAGATTTACAGGACTGCCAGAGGCAGAGACCAGGAAATTAATGTTCCAGGCCCGGAGTGACATACTTTATCCTGATCTTTCTCTAGATTTCTTCTGCCATATCCACTTTCTCATCAGGTGTGCCTCACTGAGGGGCTGCTCTCCAGGCTGTCCCTGCACAAACATCCCTGGCTGAAGAATAGTTTTGACTGATGTTAAAATAGAAGAATGCTTTGTCAGTCTAAAATTTTCTTCATACTCATGGAACTCATTTGGGAGTGGTTGAATGCCTCCACATGTGTGTGAGAAGTTTAAATCGTGTCTATGAATTTCATCAACAATGTTGGAAAAGGAACCCAAGGAATTCCTGGAGCTTCTATCCTTGGACACAGTCAAAGTTCAGCTGCATTATGTCTGATCTGGTTCTTCTTGCTTTGAAGTTATCCTCCTTGGAGTGTGTGTTTGAACTACAGGCCCCCAAGGACTCTGGTTTGGATTATTTTATTCCTGCAGGTTTGGGGGAGTTGTTTGCATGCTGGATTGAATCCAGTCTCTCTATCAGATATATTTTGACACATGGTGGTGACTTTATTTTTTAAGGTATAGTTAAGAAGGAATCAGTCCCTCGGTGCTTTGTCACCTGTATTAATGTTCCTGGGCCACCAAATTTGTCAGGCACAGCTTGCCCTCAGAGAAGCCAGGTTGGCTGTCCCCAATCACCTCCTTTCCATGGGCCTTAGCATAGTTTCCAGGAGGATCTGCTCCATGATCTTGCTGTGCACAGAGGAGAGGCCAATTCGCCTGTAGTGCCCCAGGTCCTTCTCTTGTCTCTGTTTAAAAATGGGGTTTATGTTTGCCATTTTCCAATCCATGAGAAGTTCACCAGACTGCCACAACTTCTCAAATACAAGAGTGACTTAGATACTTCCTCTACCAGCTCCCTTGGGACCCATGGATGCATCTCACCAGGTTCCATGGACTTGTGCACCTTCGGGTTCTGTAAATGACAGTAATGTGGTTGAAACCTTACAGGACATTGAGGCAGTGGTTATGCCTTACCTGCAGGTATTTTGCCTGACATTTATTGGGATTCTGCTTGCATTGCCTCACCACATTAGTGGCATCCTGCTAAGATACCCTGAAACAACCATCTGTCTCCAGATGAAGATTCCCATCTCACAGTTTAAAGGATCATATTGCTGGAGGAAATGGGGTTGAACTTTAAATAAGCATCTGCCCAGCTCTGCAGCCTGTCCTCAGCAGGGGCTGTGAGCAGATGCCTGCTGCAGACTGTAACAACAGCTCTAGTGTGTACAATTGCCCTCCCAGCCTCCAGCCACTATGCCTTCAGAAATTCCTGAGCCAAATTGGCTTTCTGTGTATTTGTGAATGCCCTGTGGCCTTCTGTTTCCTGAGCTCATTCAGCCCTCCTTGGGAACTCCAACATGTTCAGGAATTGTGTGTAATAGCTACAAACTTGTTTAGTCCTTGGTCTGTAGCCAGTTTATTACTGGTCTTTGCAAAATCCTGCAACAGTGGGTCTCATAGCTCAGACTCTGAGTTAAATGTTTTCCTTGGTTCTATTTTAAATGTAATGCCCCATAATTTAACTGGCAATCATATCATTCTTATACTGAAAGTATTAATCAGTAGGAACACTTGCTCTTCAGGATCCTTCTTGATTTTTGAGATTTGTCATCTTCTAATTTGTATGTTTTCCTGAGTCGGAGAGTTCTACTTTGATTAATCTTGTTTGGATCGGTATCAATACTTGTGATTGATTGTCCTTCTGTGATCTCATTACTGTGAAAACTCCACTTAGGAAAACAAATCAAAGTTGGTTTTGCCTCTCGTTTGTTTAATGACAGTTGACACAGTCTGTCAGCCAGACACACTTCCCTCTCCACATCCATCCCCCTGCTTCTCCACATCTCCACTGGCCCAAAACAGTCACTTAGGCCATCAGCATAGATTTCTTCTGGCCTTCTAATGCCAAAATTATTTCAAATTGTGTTTTGTCAGAATCTGGGGGTTTGCTGCTCGGTGGAATAACTCAGTACTTCTCTCAGCATACCTGTCATGAATGCCTCTGGAGCAGTGCAGATTCCTGTGTGTGTCCTATGCAGAGTCCTGAATATGGTGTGAGCACAGAGCTGGCGTCACCATGCTCTTGCAGGAGACATCTGAGGGTCCTCAGACCTTCTCTGTCTGAGATTATACCCTCAATACAAGTCAATTGAGTCAGTTAAGCTGTTGTTCATTACTTTTATTATTTCAGTCTGGGACACAGCCTGTGTAGAACTCAATCCTTCTACCCTTAATGCACACCTGAGCTTTTAGTTAATTGGACTGGGTTGCAAACACTGGGTCAGCTTTCAAAAATTTTAACTCGGGCAGTTTTTGAAGTTTCTGTCAATGACACAGAAGAGGCTTTTGCTGATTGTTTTGTGGAAGATCAGAAATAATTTACTAATATTTTATATCAAATGCAGCATAGGTTAAGTGTAACAAGTACTTCAGAGCTTTCATCCCTTGTTTGTTTTTTGTTCTGTGCTTCACCCCCTTAGGTGTAGACCTAGAGCTGTCAAGGAAAGAAGAGGAGCAGCAAATGCTCCAGGATGCTCGGCAGTGGCTGAACAGTGGGAGAATTGAGGATATAAAGCAGCCCCGGACAGGAGCCACAGCTCTTCATGTTGCTGCAGCCAAGGGATATTCTGAAGTCATGAGGTAGGAGCTCCTCCCAGGGCTGATGCATGAAATTAAGGCTGAAGACATTTTGCTTTACATTCAGAGAAATTTGTTCCATACTGATATTTTCAGGCTTCTGTTTCTCAAAAGGCTCTGTGGTTTTGTGTGTACAACCACAGTGGTTCACCCAGAAATACACAGGGACAGGAGGGTTCCCTTTCATACCTCCAGGCCTTTTTGGAGTAATGAAAGCTTTTTAGAGAATGAGGCATAAATTAGGAGGTCTCTAATTTTTCTAATCACAAGTCTGATTTTCACTGTTAGAGTAATAGTTTCAGGACTAGCAAGTTAAACGGTAGTAGGGGATAAAAGTATAATGTTGACATACAAAGTGACAACACATACTGCATGACCATTCTCACATTCTTGTGGGAAAATGCAGTGTCCACCCCTGTCTCACTGTCCTCTTCTGCCCCTTCATGCTACTGCTCCTGTAGTGACAGAGGGATTCCAGCACCTGACAGCTCTGCTGTCCTGGCACTAACAAGATTATTATGTACATAAGCCTGCCCAGTGTAGCATTTCCTGGTAAAAAACGTTAATATTGTTGCAGGTAATGTCAAATTAGGCTTTACACCAATAAAGCTTTCTTCTCTGCTCTTTATGTGTGGCTGGAGCTGCCCATGAACATAGAGCTAATGAAATCCCTGACTGGATTGGGCTGTGAGGAACCTTAAAGCTCATCTTGTCCCACCCCATGCCTTGGGTAGGTGTCAGAACCCCGGCCTGGTTCAGGGGTTCCATGTGGTGGTAAAGTCTCTCCTCCAAGCCATGCTTCCAAAGAAAAACTCTGCAGCCTCTTGTTGTTCGGTCTCAAGGCAGTTTATTGCAAGTTATCTAAAAGATTTTCTTCTCAGGCTGCTGCAGTTTGCTCAGCAGCTCTGGCAGAGACACACACACACCCTGACATCCTCTCTGTTTGCTGTCTTCTTCTCTCCCTCTGCCCAGGGCTGCTGCTCTCTTTTATATGGTACATTACATGATACATGTTTACAGTTTTTCCCCAATGCCTATTACCTATATTAAATGGTGCTTTTCTACTCTAAACCAATCCATAAGTGCCAACATCATCAAGAACATGGAGGTAAGGAAGAAGAAAGAGGAGGAACAGGACCGGCCTACATTCCTCCATCTTAAAACTTCTGACCCCCATGTACAAAGTAAAAACCCCTCTCTACAGGTATTAAAACCCCCCTGTACAATACTAAAAAATTCTCTGCTTTGTAACTACTTCTACTATAATATCTAAACTTTTGTGACTGCTTGTTCCACCTTCAAAGCTGGTAAATCATTCCATGGCTCAAAGTCAAAATCACAGCTGTTTCCAGCTGCCTGCCAGGGTCTCAAATGCCTCCGACCAGGGCCTGGAACCTCCAGAAATGTCTGAGGGACATTTTGAGGTCCAACAGGTACGGACACCTTCATCTATCCCAGGTTGCTCCAAGCCTCATCCAATCTGGCCTTGGATACTTCCAGGGATGGGGCAGCCACAGCTGCTCTGGGCAGCCTGTGCCAGGGCCTCCCCACCCTCACAGGGAGGAATTTTTACCTCATATCTAATCTAGCCCTGCCCTCTGTCCATGTGAATCTATTTCTTTTTGTGTTGTTACTACATGCTCTTGTAAATAGTCTTTACAAGGTGTCGTGGTTTGACACTCCCCAATGCTGGCACCCACAGGAGTCGCTCACCCTCCCCACCCACAGATGGGCAGAGGAGAAAAAAAAAATTAACAAAGGCTTCATGAGTTGAGATAAGGCCCAGAGAAAACCCTTCAAAGGCAAAACAGGCTCAGCTTAAAAGTTGCAAAGTGAATTTCTTGCTAATAGAATCAGAGGAAGATAATGAGAAGTAAAAAAAAAGCCTTTAAAACACCTTTACTCCCAGGCCATCCCTCCTTCCCACTGACAGCACAGGGAAACAGGGCATGGGGGTTTGGGTCAGTTCATCACCGAGATTTTCTTCTCTGCTCTGGGAGAGGAGTCCTTTCCTTGTGAGACCATGGGGTCCCTCCCACGGGAGACAGTCCTCTGTGAAATTCTCCAGTGTGAGTTCACATGAATTCCTCCACAGGCTCACAGTCCTCCCAAAACCACTCCAGCGTGGATCTCTCTTCCCATGGAGTGCAGTCCTCCAGGAACAGGCTGCTTTAGCCTGGAAACAGAGTCCCCTCTCTCCACTGGGTCTTCTTGCTGGATCACAGCATCCTCCAGGCATCCACCCACTGCAGCGTGATCACTTCCCCATGGGCTGTGGGTGGGTCTCTTTATCCCCTGTGGATCCCCGTGGGCTGTGGGTGGATCTCTGCATCCCCTGTGGATCCCCGTGGGCTGTGGGTGGATCTCTGCATCCCCTGTGGATCCCCGTGGGCTGTGGGTGGATCTCTTTATCCCCTGTGGATCCCCGTGGGCTGTGGGTGGATCTCTGCATCCCCTGTGGATCCCCGTGGGCTGCAGGGGCACAGCTGCTTCACCATGGTCATCACCACGGCCTGCAGAGGAACCTTGGCTCTGGTGCCTGGAGTACCTCCTCCCCCTCATTCTTCTTGGTGTCTCCACATTATTTCCCTCACATGTTCTCACCTCCTCTTCTCTGACAAGAAGAAAAACTGCATGCCCACTTTGTTTTGATTTTCTTCTTAAATCTGTCACAAAGGTGTCACCAGCCTCTGTAACTGGCCCAGCTTTGGCCAGCAGCATGTCCATCTTCAGAGCAATCAGGGATTGGCTCTGCCAGACATGGTAGAAGCTTCCAGCAGCTTCTCACAGAAGCCACCTCTGTGGCCTGCCTGCTACCAAAAGCCAGGCTGTGTGTAACCAACACACAAGCTTACTCTATTGCCTGTGTTAGAATCCATTGTGGAAGTGTTCATCTATCTTGATCCCAAGTTTCATAATTTTAAGTGACATGACTTGATGTCAAAGAGCTGTTTCATATCAAGCTCAAGCATTTTATTGTACTTCATGTTTCTGATTTGTATTCAGTCATTAGAACTTATAATTGAGTGATGAGCTGTCTGTGCCTGTACCATGCCCAAGAACAGGAATCTAACACAGCACATGTGAATAGAAATGTAGTATCTCTGAATCTGAGATACTGAGGTTGGTCCCGTCACCTGTCAGGGGAGGGTTGTGAATCCAGTGCTCCTTGATGAAATTCAGTGTGTGCAGGATGATTTAGTTCTGGACAGCCTCTCCTTGGCATTAATTATGGTAATGATAAACACATCTCACAGCAAGCTAACATTGTTTCCCTCTTGTGTATGTGATGGCTGTGCTGAAGTTCAAATCCAGAGCTTTAGTGACTTAAACCAAAGAGGCTGACAGCCAGGAGTCAACTAACTCTAAATGAGACATAGAATTTGTCTGTGACCTTGAGTCTTTTAGCAGCTCTGTTTCTCCCTTCTGCCAGCTGGAAAATCAACAGAAACTCAGTGCCTAATTTACAGTTTCTTTCACAGAGAAGCCCACAGCTGCTCTGCTGTGACTGTGATTTTTTTAGCACAGTAGCACATTGGTGTAAAGCTGCAAGAGTTTTCAAGCTATTGGTGCCATGTTGGGGTCATGCTGGATTTCCCTCCTGCTGTACATGCTCTGCATGGGGGAATTTCCCACAATGGAAATTTTCAGGAGCATTTTTACCAGATTTGCAGAATTCCCCTGGGATGTTATTCACTATTTAAGCAATTTGGATAATAGTTTTCATACAGGAGCTGCTCAGTGCTCTTGTCTGATTACTGCCGCACCTGTGTGCACATGGCTCTGGAGCTCCAGACTACCCCAAATCTTTTGTGTTTGTTTTGATGTTAAATATTCAAGCTCAAGGTGCTGTGAAACACCAGTGTTCTCCTCTGATGGAGAAGGGAGGGTGGAAGGGGCACAGCAGTGAGGGTAAGGAAAGGAGATCCCAGGTAAATTTACTTGTGGAAGATTTGCTTGAACTGTCCAAGGGCTACTCTGAAAAAATGCATTTGGGGTTGTTTAATCCAAGTGAGGGTTGTTTAGCATACAGATTTTACCTCTGTTACTGGTGCTTCCCTGGCAGTCCTGTTGGTCTCCTTGAGGGCCACCCCACACTGTGGTCTTGTGCTCTTGGAGAACCAAGCTCGAGCTCCAGTTCCCAAATGTCCCTCTCCTGGCAGGTGCTGTGCTTGGCAGCCTGCACAGGGATGGCAGTTGCAGGGATGCAACTGAGCCAGTCCAGACTCTCTCCTCTGAACAGGGGTTCAGACTGGGTCACCAATGCCAGATGAGAAGTCAAGGTGTTCTCCCAGTTCAGGACATGCTGAAAGGGAACCTTATCAGTTTGACATGTTCCAACAGGTTTTACATCAAAGTCACTTTTCGTTCATTGCCCTTTCCATTACAGTTTCAAGCACATCAAGTGGGATGTTGCTTTGGTTAATGAACAAGTCCAGAAGCTCCTGGCTGTTTGGGAGCCAGGCTGCCCACTTGGTGCCTAACAGGGGAAACTGCTCTGTCAGGAAGTCATTTCTGATGGGCAGAGATCAATCCTGCTGCTTTCCTCAGGCTCCTGATCCAGGCTGGGTTTAATTTGAACGTCCAGGACAATGATGGCTGGACTCCACTCCACGCTGCTGCTCACTGGGGAGTGAAGGAAGCGTGTTCCATCCTGGCTGAGGCTCTGTGTGATATGGACATCAGGAACAAGCTGGTCAGTACACAACTAATGCAGGGTATTCTATAGTGAGATAATATTGATTATTGGCTTCTGCATGATCATGGAATCATAGAACCCCAGACTGGTTTGTATTTGGAGGAACCTTAAAGTTAACCTCATCCCACCCCCTGCCATGGACAGGGACACCTTCCACTAGCCCAGGTTGCTCCAAGTCCTGTACAGCCTGGCCTTGGACACCTGCAGGGATTGAGCAGCTGCAGCTTCTGTGGACACCCTATGCCAGGGCCTCAGCACCCTCACAGCCAAAATTTCCTTCCCAATAGCCCATCTAACCCTGCCCTCTGCCAGTGATAAGCCATTCTCCCTTGTCCTGTCCCTCCAGGCCCTTGTCCAAAGCCCCTCTCCAGCTCTCTTGAAGCCCCTTTAGATACTGGAAGGGGCTCTAAGGTCTCCCCAGAGCCTTCTTTTCTCTAGGTGAACCCCCAGCTCTCCCAGCCTGGCACCTGAGCAGAGGGGCTCCAGCCCTGTGGTCAATTTAGTGGCCCTCTCTCAATTCTTTCCAGGAGATCCATGTCTGTCCTGAGATGGGAACTCCAGAGCTGGACACAGAGATCCAGGTGGGGTCTCATAAGAGATCCAACATCATCATCCATCTACATGACAAAGTCATAGTAGTCCTCCTTGCCTGTGCACTGGATAATTTAAATACATCAGTAAATGAAGAATCTTGACTGGCAGAAGACAGAAAAGATTTCAGATATTATGGGAAATGTGACCTGATTAAACTTTTAACACTGAGCTTGTAAGAAGGGATAACAGCTGATCTGTGCCATCCTGTGTTAGTGTAACCCTGAGAAATCAAATGCAGCAAAGAAACAGTCTTGGAGTGCAAAATTATATACTAATATTGAAGTATAAGGCACTGAAAACAAGTGAGCCCATGAGAAACTGGCAGTTTTAAATCCTCCCTCTTCTATGTATTGGTAATAAAAAATGAAATTGAAGATTTGTGACACATGAGCAAAGAAAAATAGGATGGAAGAAAAGGAGCAAAAACATTTCCTTTCTAATAGTTACAGGTTTTTCCTTGAAGAGCCCTTGGATTTTCAAGAGCTTGTCCAGGGCTGCTCTTGGTGTTCCCATCCCTGCTGGGATGTCCACACTGGTCTGTGAGCTGCTTCCCACTGGACCAGGTGTGCTGTGGCTGCCTTTGGGGAGGAGGGAAGGTTGAATGTGCTTGGAGGAGCACCAGGGGATGAAGGAGGCAGGAAGATGTGATAAGAGAGAGCCCTGTGTGCTCAAATGCATCCAGTTGTGCTGGAAACTGCTGGAACTCAAATGCCCCATGAGGAGCCCTTTCAGCCTGGTGAGCTGTTTGGCACCCAAAATACAGGGAATCTTTTCTGTTTGAATGCCATCAGGTGCTTTTCCGAAGTGTTCAGGATGTGTATGGGGTCTTGTATCATGCCATACTTGAAACAGTCACAGTTGTATTTATTGTGTTACCTGCTCCTTCTAGTCCAGAATTGTCTTGTTGTTGGGTCAGATGGACAAGACTAACTTTTATTTTTTGACCTGCGGCCATCGGGTTTCAGGTTATTAATGAAATGGCATTTAGAGCTTTACTTTGGTGAAAATGTAACCAATTTCTTGGTTTATGCACTGGAGTATTTTTGCTGGTTTGTTTTAGCTCATAAATGCCAATGGATGTGGAAATGGATCCCAGATTTTTGGCTTGCTGGCAGCCTTTCAGAACATTTAAATACATGATGATAAAGTAGCACAGAATCAGGAATCTCCTGAGCTGGAAGGGACCCACAAGGACCATCCAGTCTGACCCCTGGCCCTGCACAGACACCCAACAATCCCACCCTGGGCACCCCTGGCAGTGCTGTCCAAACCCTCCTGCAGCTCTGGCAGCCTCGGGGCTGTGCCCATTCCCTGGGGAGCCTGGGCAGTGCCAGCACCTCTGGGGGAAGGACCTTTCCCTGATCTTCTACATAAGGAGAGGTTGATCACATTCCCTCTCAGTGCAAGAGTGTCCTTTATAGAAACTGGAAACTCAAGCATAGTCCTGGCTGCTGGATTTGAGCAGCAGCCCCCAGGAAGCTGCACTTCCCTGGCAAAAGCTGCTTACTAAACATAAACAAGATCTTAGAGGTCTTTTCCAGCCAAAATGATTCTGTGATTCCATGATCACTGTCACATGAGTTTCCTTGCTCTGGAGTGAAACAGAGTGTCACCATTTGGATGTGGAGCATGTGCACTGGTAAATAGGGCTTTTTGGAGTATTACCACTGTGCCATCTCAGATATCTTCTTGTGTTCTCTCTTTGCACCAGGGCCAGACGCCCTTTGACGTTGCTGATGAGGGACTTGTGGAGCATTTAGAAATGCTGCAGAAGAAGCAGACTGTGGTGAGTTTCTGGAAATTGTTTTCCTATTACCTCTCCAATTACCTTTTCACACACAGGTGTTCTCCAAGACACACGGTGCCAACAGATGCACGGAGCTCAGGCCCAGCGATTTTCTTTAGTTACTCATTAGCAATCTCTAATCACAGCAATATTTTTAATAGCTAGAAATCTAGATAACTGGATGACAGCAGCAAGGAGGTCAGTAGTGTGATGGCATGCAGAATTATGGGAACTGGCTAGGAATTTCATCTTTGTAATTGTTATTATCTTGCAGTTCCTTTTTTGGCTGGCAGGCTCTCTAGCATCAAACTGCTCTGTTCCTAATGAGTGATTACCCAAGTCAGCTTTGTGTTTGCATCCAGGGAAATGCAGTCAGTGTTGAGAAAGAGATCTGTTACCATGTCTGCCTTTCTTAAAATAGGGAGGCTTTGGATTGAGGAAGAAGAAATTATAAACTTCAGGGAATTCTGGACTGAAAAAATGGGTAATTTCAAAATTATATTAAATTGTCATTTCATAATGCAGTGGAAGGGATTGGAAGGGATTATAACCTGGAAGTTGACATAAAAAAAGGAAAGCAGAATATATCTTGTTCAAAGTAAGGGCAGTTGTCAAGCCAGAAAGTTGGGTTTGGATTGAATTTTTTCCTATTGCATCTGGTCTACTCAATTATCTCATTTAGGTGCTTCCAAAACACAAGCTAACCTTCTTTCAAAAAGAATTAAAAATCTGTAAGTATCACTTAAAATACTGGGTTCAGAAACAGACGGAATGGGAACACTGCTGATAAAGCCCAGGAACGGATTTTCAGGAACTGACAGTGTGGGTGGTTAGAACTCCAGCTCTGATCACAACACAGCTGCTGCCATCCTCAAATAGCAGCCTTAGTATTCACAGGAATTTCTTTAAAATTAATAAGCTTCTCCCTAAATTAGGTGTTGATAAATACTATCAGGGTTGTATTTGGATTCCCCTCTCCCTCACTACCCAAGATTTTGCAGATAACTGCATTTCTTAAAAGAAAAGAAAAAAAAAAAAAAGAAAAAGAATTTTTTGGGTGACTGCTCACCCATTTTTAGGGCAGCTTTGCAGGGGCTACAGCCTTCCTGTTCTCTATATAGAAGCACTATATAAAGGCCTTCTCCATTTATTCAGTCAGTGTAGAACTTGGCAGAAAAATCTGGATTTTATTACACTTTTTTTTAGTGGATATGATTTTTTAGTGGAAAAACCAATTTGTCATGTGTTTATCATGTGTCATTTTTATCACTTAAAACCAGAAAACTTATATGTGTTAAGGATAAAACAGGCAGTTCCATGATGTTATTTCTCTTCCAAAATGGCTTCCAAATCAGATATGTTTTCCAGTCTAAGGCAGAGCTTTGTGCCACCCTTGCTGAAAGATTTGCTGCCATTATTGGAAAGCAGGGGGGATTTTTGTATACTGGAAGCAATTTGGTCTGGGTTTGGATTTTTTTTTTTCCTAGTTACTGAACTATCTGTGAATGGAGCTGGCTGTTTCCTGGACTTCTCTTTGCTGTGCTCCAGCAGTTTGGTCAGTTTAACGATGCTGTGCTGCAGATTTTTGCTCTTCACTGGAATCCATGCAGCTTTTCCCACTTCACAGGGTGCCCAGAGCAGCTGTGGCTGCCCCATACCTGGAAGTGTCCAAGGCCAGGCTGGACAGGCCTTGGAGCCACTGGAGTAGTGGAAGGTGTTCCTGCCCATGGCAGAGGGTAGGGCTGAACGAGATTTTAGGTCGTTTCCAACCCAAATAATTCTGGCATTCTATGATTCAGAATTTACAGTGCTTTTACTTCCTTTGTCTGGTGTCAACTGCTGTCGAAAGAAAAAGAATTAACCTGGTGAGCCATGACACAGCAGAGTCAGCCTTAAACTGAGCCCCTAACTGCCATCCCTACTTCTGCCTCAGCTGTTTCTGTGCTTCTGGATCGTACTAAAACAATTTTTAGGTACTGTTTTGTCCACTGATGTGGTAAAATTAATATTGCTGCTCTCTAGACAAAATCTTTCAATTTCTATATGATCCCAGGTATTCCCATGCAGTGACTTTGTGCATTTGAGAGATGTAGGAAGTGACCTATCCTCACAGGAGTTCCCTTGTTGCCTGTACAGGGCAGACTTGAATGCTTTCCTCTGACAGCAAGTAAATAATAGCCACAAAGGCAGGAAATTTTTAGCTGAATCTAACCTGATTTCATGGGCACACACACATGGACAGACCTCCAGCAGAATCCCAGATTGGTTTGAACTAAAAGGAACCTTAAAGCTCATCCCATTCCACCCTCTGCCATGGACAGGGACACCACCACTATCCCAGGTTGCTCCAAGCCCCATCCAACCTGCTTTGGACACTTCCAGGGATGGGGGAACCCACAACTCCTCTGGGCAGGAGTCAAGGTTTGTCCCTGGTCTTGGCAGGGGCATCTGCAGGTGCCTTTGAAGCTTTAATTAAATGGCAGCTGTATTCCCAGGACATGGTGGGTGCTGTGCCCTGGTGGAGCTCCAGTCCAAGTCTCACAGTGCCATTGCAGATGTGCTGCTGTTCAAGTGGCATCTTACACAAGCCTGCAGTGGTTTGGTCTGATGAGGCTGGGCTGTCCCTGTGCTGTGGTGCTCACTGGGTTATGCTGACAGGGCTGGTAATGTCTGTCCTCATTCTCTCTCTCCCATCTTCCTGGACTTTTTAACAGCTGCGAAGTGAGAAGGAGACCAGGAATAAGCTGATTGAAGCTGACATGAATGGGAAGCCTCAAAACAGACTCTTCACCAAGTAAGTCTCTCCTTCTTAGTTGAAAAGAAACTGCCCAGAAAGTAATGGAGAGCAGCTTCATCTCTCACAGCCAGCCTCAGCTGGGTCAAAAACAATTCACTGCTGTTTATTTCTGCACTTTTTAAAAATACGAACACTCAAATGCAGTTTTAGTTGTGTCAAATACAGTTTGTGTTGTGTCTTAGCATACCCAGTGAGTGGTGGAACAAGGGCTTGGGCTGGTGTTTGGTTCTCCAGCTCCTGCTCTGGCTGAGGATCAATCAGATCTTTGGGCTGAGAACTACACAGTTTTGTTGCACAAAGCCCTACAGCCCAACTGCTGCATTGTGTGACACTAGAAAAGGGGAGATCACAGTTTCGTGGCTAGAAAAATGCTTGCAGAAAATGTGAGACTGGCAGTAGAATCCATGGCAAACTGGCCATGATGGAAGTGCTGGAGTGTTCAGTCTGTAGATGGATTTTATCCTTTGCTTGTTCTGTGTGTAATAAATCATGTCTGTGTCTTCCTGAGAAGTACAGCTCAGATAACTTGCTTGCCTAGACCTAAAACTTTCCTATTTTGCAGCAAAGAGAAGATTCTTTATGAGGAAGACACGTTGAAGTCCGTGGAAACTGAGGAAGAGAACAAGGACTCGAGCAGTTCTAGTTCTGAAGAGGAAGAAGCTGAAGATGAAGTTTCAGAATCGGATGCTGAAAAGGAGTCAGGTAAGACTTAATACAGCCTTGGATTTCATAATTACCCTAGCTGTTACCATTATTAATGTTGTTGTTGTTGTTATTGTTAACTAATTACATAATTAGTTGTTAAGGACATGCTGAAAGTTTTACTTCCAGTGTATATGCACAGAATTTGGAGAAACCTGGAGCTACTGTGCTACAGGCGGATTCAAATGCTGATTTGCAGGTCAGCATAATTATTTTTAAATAATCCTTCAGATTCTATTTTAATTCCTCCTTCCAGCTCACATGTATTGAAAATAACACATTGTCCATAGCTTGTTCTCAAAGAGGGTGTTTTTCTTGTTGGCCCAGTCCAAGAAGAATCCTTCAGGTACTGCAGGATGGTAGGGGAGGAGGTGAAGGTATAGGAAGGCAATAGCCTGTTGTGTTTGGATAAGTCTGAAATGAAGAGCTGAAGCTCTTCTGGCTGATTATAAAGATGAGGAACTTCTGTTTTCCAGGCTGTGATGAATAATGATTGTAAAAGATAGTGGAATATAAGGATTAAGTACACAGAGTCACAGTAGTATTCATTTACATTACAGTATATTGCTGGCATCTTACTCCCATTCCTTTTCCATAATTTCTGTGGCTACCTTAATTAGTTTTAAAAGTGTATATGTGCAGCACAGAAAGTTTAAATACAGATATTAATTTTACAGTAAGCCAAGACTTATTTGTACTTAATATTCTGCAAACACAGATGGATCTTGTACTATGATGTGTTTAATGGTTAAACTACTTTTAACATCAATTTACTTGGTCTATATCCAATATACTAAAAAATAGGTCCTGAGAAGTGTAATTTAAAGTTCTGTTGTGTTTCTGTGCCAGTGAAATTGTCACTTGTGTTAGGATTGTATCAGTTAATGCTGTTGGGGCAGGGTGAGAGGTGTGGGAAATCCTGGTAGGGCTCTGCAGAGCTACTGCTGCACCAGCTGGGTGGGCATGGCAGTAACACAGGGAAATGATCTTGGGGCTTTTAAATCAAGCAAGTCTAGTGGACTTGTCAGTGGTAGAAAGAGACATGCAGCACAGATCACATCTATTTTCTCCATAAAGCAGGGGTTTACCCTGATTATATACATATTTATATAAATATAAATTATACCTGTCTAGCCGGGAGCCAATGTTTGTAATCCTTGTAAACGTGGTGGCAGTTTGACCAAAACAATTCAAATGTTTGCACACTTATAAGACCTGCAACTGTGTGTGGTTTAACTGAGTCAGGAAGAGCCGAAGATCCTTCAGCAAGGAAAGGTCTACAGCACGCAGCATTAAATTTTGTTCAAAGCCAGAAGAGGTCTTTTTATTGCATTAGTTCACTGAGCAAAGCACATTATAAGAGTATATGTCAAACCACTGAAGCTAATAGAAATGGGAGACAACAAGCATTCAGGTAATGATTCAGCTTCAGGCTCTGTTATCTGTACTCTCCTTTCCTGGAAAGATTTGTGAGTCCTTTGAGAAATTTCCATCAGAATTGAAATCCCACCTTGTAAACTTCTGAAATCTCTGGTAAAATGAGTGTGGACTTGCCCACCTGTGTGGAGACACAACTACCACTTGCTACATATGTGAGTGGAGGGTCACATCTTTGGTACTCTTTTTAAAGCAAGATTTTGTAAGGTAACAGCATCAGCCCACATTATAGGAGGCCTCCAAAGAGAAGTAGAATTTTTTATTTTGATAATGAAAATAATAAATGTCACAGTATTTCTGATTTCAAAGACAGACAGTGGTATTCCTGGGCTGATCCCCCAGCGTGGGCAGCAGAGCTGGGGGTGATTCTGCCCCTGTGCCCCACTCAGGTGAGACCCACCTGCAGAGCTGGTTCCAGCACAGGAAGAAGCTGGAGCAAGTCCAGAGGAAGGCACCAGGATGGTCGCAGGGATGGAGCAACTCTGCTGGGAGGAAATGCTGGGAGAATTAGGATTGCTCAGCCTGGAGAAGAGAAGCTTTGGGGTGACGTCATTGTGACCTCCCAGGACCTGAAAGGAGACTGCAAGGAAGATGAAGAGAGACTGTTTGTGAGGGTCTGGAGTCACAGGACAAAGGGGAATGGCTTCTAACTGACAGAGAGTAGGTTTAGATAGGATATGAGGAAAAAAATCCTCCCTGTGAGGGTGAGGAGGCCCTGGCACCGGGTGCCCAGAGAAGCTGTGGCTGCCCCTGCATCCCAGGAAGTGTCCAAAGACAGATTGGATGGGTCTTGGAGCAACCTGGGATAGTGGAAGGTGTCCCTGCCCATGACAGTGGGTGGAATGAGATGAGCTTTAAGGCTCCTTTTAGTTCAAATCAATCTGGGATTCTGTGGTTCTCTGTTTATCTAGTCAACATTTTACATGCTTGGATTGCACAGGAGGCAAGGGTATGAAAACATGAATATTATTCCCTTATTCCTCTTAATTTTCTGTAAAATTCCCATACCTTTATTATTCTGAGCAGTGCTGGGCAAATAGATTATGACTGTTGTTCTTAAGTCCAGATGAAAAAAAATTTGGAGTGGTCTTCTTAAACCTAAAAATTCCAACCCCTTTGGTAGCTGAGCATAAAGCGGGACATGTAGAAGCTGTCAGTGAAACACACAAGTTTATTTTGAGGTGTGTTTTGAAGAGTCTCATGTTGCGATTAATTTGTTGAATTTGCAGAGACTGTGGGAGGAAGAAATTGGATGAGGGAAGCAATGAAATTGTTGGAAGGCTTCAGAGTAGTATGTTTCTTATAATCTGTAAGAAATTTTTGCTCTTCAAACAAAGGAAGCTAAGGGCCTTAATGTCACTTTATTCATTTTGAAGACAATTTATTTGGCATTGACCTCTTGTAAACAAGAGAAAGATCATTATAAAATTCTATGGTGATTATCTTTGCTGGGAACTATTACAATATGTAATTATTGGGAATTAAAGCAGGCCATGGAAGCTTTTAGTGTTTTTTGTTTAGAAACCAACCAAACAAAAACCCTTATCCAAAAACCCTTACAGAAAAGGAATTAGAAACCTAACTTTTACTCTTACCAAATTTATTTTGAGGAGATTGAACTAATCCTCTCCAGTTTCTGTTGTCTGGAATTTATAATGTGTATTACTGAAATTTTGGTAGAATAAAATGTGGGATCCTGCCCAAAGGCAGCCCTGCCAGCACAGAGTCTGTTCCTCTTCTGCAGTCACAGAAGATGTCCTAGAATGTCCCAGTCACATTGCTTGCAGTTAGTCCTTCCCAACCTGTCATTACCACTTTAGCCTGTGCCCTTCTAATTAGGCTTGACCTTAAAAGCTGATCTGTGTGCTGTAAACTTGCAGAACAGGCTCCCAGTGCCCATCCAACCCAGCCTGGAGAGCCGCTGCCACCTTCCCCTCCTGCAGTGTCCTGTGTTTTACAGGCCTCAGTCACAACAACGAGCAGCTGGCAGCAACTGGGCATGTCCATGGACTTGGGTGCCAAGTGTGGCAGGCTGGGCCTGCAAGGAGGAATGGGGGATCCATTGCCCTTTCCCCAGGGGTGGGTGAAAGCTCTGCTCCAGAACTGAAATCTACTGCTTTGCAGAGAGGGAAAAGTGGCTGAGAATCCATTCTTATGCAGACCCAAAGGAACAGCTGGAGCTGTGTCAGGGGAGATTTAGGCTGGATATCATGGAATGGTCCTTCCCCAGAGGGTGCTGGCACTGCCCAGGCTTCCCAGGGAATGGGCACGGCCCCGAGGCTGCCAGAGCTCCAGGAGTGTTTGGACAGCACTGCCAGGGATGCCCAGGGTGGGATTGTTGGGGTGTCTGTGCAGGTCAGGGGTTGGACTGGATGATCCCCATGTGTCCCTTTCAACTCAGGAGATTCTATGATTCTATCTTTGTTTCTTTAGTTCAGGCTCTGTCAGTCCTGATAACTTCCTCTTATTTTAAAATGTTTCTCTTGAGTTGCTCTTCTCTGGTTTTTGTGTCCTTTGAATCCTTATTTTTCTAGTACTGAGAATATTTGTTACAGAAAGATTGATCTTCATGCTCCAAGGTGCCATCCTCTCAGATGCTCCATCCCAAATGACTCTAAATGTGTAACAGCAGATTTTTATTCCTTCCACGTACATTAACATAACATGTGTGTTAACATAACATGTTATTTGCTAGGACTGTTTGGGTGCTTATGCTTAAAATTATTTTTTCCAAGCCATGACTGTGTGAACACTCATAGCTATAAGGAAAGCTTTGATTGGTGGGTAGGTAAATAATTTCTCAGGCAGGTTCCATGTGCCTGGGCTTATGATGAATAGTCTGTCTCCAGCCTGTGCTCTCCTGTCAAGTGAACCTACTGCCTGAGTCACACTTTCTGCATAATCTCCTGGTAATGTCTGATGAACGTTCTTCTGTCGAGCATGTACATAGATACAGAAAATTGATACTGGACAGCTGCACTTATCTAACAAGCAGGGAGCCAGCTGTGAGCTTGGACAAGGGTTGCTTAGCTTGCTGGGAGCCCAAATAAGGGTTTTTGTTGGGCAGCAGTCCTGGCTTCCTGTAGAAAAATTGATTTTGCTGCAGAAGACCAGAAATTCTGTCCAGCAGCACAAACAAGTGCAGAGAACTGTGCAGTGAAACCCAGCACTGGGCACACAGGGCTGTGGGCTGTACCACACCTATGATACAGCAAGGAGGAACAGCATGTGCCCCTTTTCATCCCAAGATTTACCAGGGAAGAAATTCCCAGACAGGAAACAAAGTTGTGAAAAACAGAAAACCTGTGTGTCCTCTTTGTGGTGCTTTCTGCAAAGATTTTGCTTGTCTCTGAGGATAAAGTACAAAAGCTTTGCCTGGCAAATGTATCCGTCCTATTTTTGAGGAAGTGGGAAGCTCTTTGCAGAAAGCCCTGACATCTGACAGTGCAGAAGGCATTGACGTCTCTGTGATCCAAGGAGGTCACACAGCACTGAACTGGAGTGCAGACCACACTCTGTGTAAAGAAGGGCCTCAGAAGTGCAATACTGAAACATTTGGTTTCTCTTCTTGTTTAAAATTGTAGAGAGAAAGGAAGAGCCCTTTGCCAACCACTCCAGCCGTGAATCCAGGCCCAGCATCACTGAGCAGATGCCACCACCCGAGCCCAACTCCTTCACTGCATCTGCCAGAAGAGTAAGTGAATTTGGAATCAATGGGGACTCCAGTAGTGCTCAGAAGCAGAAGGTGTTACTGGGAGATGGATGCTCTGAGACCAGTCTTCAGAGGACTTTGAGGCTTGAATTTAGAAAAGCCTGGTGGCATGAAATTCTGATAAAGATATGTGTTAACAGCAGTGTAGGGAGAATACAGTTCCTCTTGAATTTCTGACCCTCCAGGGCCGATTGTAGTGAAGAAAGCCAGCCTACAGCGCATGCTCTGTGTGCTGTCAGTTCTGAGGAGGCTGGTGCCAATGTCTTCTCAGAAGGTCTGTGACCAGAGCTGATTTCTGCCTATGTGCCAGTGGTGAGTTCGGCACCATCTTCCAAAGTGCCTCTGACTTGCCAAAGCCAGTTGAGTCAGTGGTGTGATGTTATTGCCCAGCAAACAGACCATAGTTTGCATGTGGCTGGCCAGCTGGGCTATAAAAGCTTTGAAAGGTGAAGTGGTCACTGAAATCTTACGTGAATCCTCCAGCTCTCAGATCACTCAGCTAGATGGCACCAGGAGACTCTGCTCTGCACAGGACTCCTGTTGTGTGCTGCTGCTTTCTTTTTGCACCAGACTGTGGAGAAAACAACACAGACCCCTGGCCCAGGCCTGAAGCACTCGGTGCTTGTCAGGGGGAAGTGTTTCTTGCTTAGTCACAATTATTTATTTTTTACATGTAACAGAGCATAACCAAGATCAAATGAAACAGAGCTCCTCTGGGCATTGTTCAGCTCATGCTGGCTTAGCAGGGGGACTGTTAGAGCTAGAAGGATGCTGGGAAGTGTGAGTACTTCAGTTAACTTAACCTTTTCCCAGCTGCAGAGATTTGGTCTCTCACTCCCTTGAGCTGTTTAACACAGAATAAGGGTGTTAGGGTGTAGAAGCTGGCCTGTGAGCAGAGAAATTACTGATTTTACCTCAGTCACTTAAGATCACTGTCTTTACCTTCTCTCATCTGTTTGATTTTTATGTAATTCTCTTTGACAGACTGGGCTTTAGATTGTGTTGCCCTCTATTAGGAGGGTTATTAGTATGTGCTGTTCCTGTGTTGTTCAGAATTTACAGATGGCAGCTTTTGCAGTGGTTTTGAGCATTCTCTGAGGAAAGCATCAAAACTACATGAAAATGTTAGAGCTGTGTAGCTCAGTAGACTGGCAGTCCTGGAAATGGTGGAGTGCAGATTAACTCTTTGCATCTGCATTGAAATTACATGAGCTGAAAACATTGCTCAAATACTGCAGGGATACTTTCAGTTCTTGGCAATCTTCAGACAGTGAGTCTGAGGGCGGAGCTCTCCAGTAGCTCCATTTATTCTGAATAGTGTCAGATGGTTTCTGTCAAATAATGCTTAGATCAGCTTTGATCAAAAGCCTTGTCTGCCCAGTGTCCTGCCCAACAGTGACCATCAGAAACTACTAGAGAACACAATCTTGCAGGAATTCCCTCCCACAGTCCAGCTATTGGCATTTCAAGGACTCGATGAACCTAGTGTATTTTTTGTCTTCAGTAGCCCCTGTTGGACTTTTCCTTTATGCAGTCTCTTTTTGGCTGGGATCCTCTAATGTCCAGTGGTAAAAAGAGTCCTTCAGCTTATTTAAAAACTCTACAAAGCTCCCTGTCCCATTAACCAACCACATGCTGGGTTTATTTGCTGTCCCTCATTCCTTTTTGGGAAGGATCAAGGAATAATTGTTCCTTACTCACACTTCTGTGTGCCACTGAGGGTTTCGTATACCTTGGTCATATCTCAGCCTGGAGACTACTAATACACTGAATATCTCCTCATGCAAAACCTCTCTTGCTCTACTTCTTTCTGCTTTTCCCTGAACTCTTCCCTTCTTGTCAACTGCTGCTGAGCCCTGGACCTGAGCTGTGTGTGGTAACACAAAGCCACAGTGGTTGTGTGTTTTGTATTCTGTACTTTTCCAATAATTCCTAATAATTTGTTTGCTTTATTTCCTGTATAACTTGGTGCTTAGCCCTGTACAAGTATCTCTTGTGATGCTCAGGCTCCATTCTTGAATGGCAGTGTGCAGCCTTTTGAAAGACTTAATAACTGTAGCTAAAGTCATAAATTTAAGCAGTTGTACATTTAAGCAGTTGTGTATTTAAGGACTAACATATGCAGGTCAGAAGTGCCTCATGTAACAAAAAGCACAAAGGCCCATTCTATGGTGTGCACAGTTACCTGCCCATGGAAGGGGCCTTTGCGAGGCTGAAGTCCAGCATCCTGCTCAAAGCAGGATTAAGCTCATGTCATGTTGCTTTGTGCTACCTGAGCTCAGCTGAGTATTAAAAGGTCTCTGAGGATGGAGATGCTCTACTCCCTTGCTCTCTGTCCCAGTGCAGCTTTGATCCTGCCAGGAGTTACGTCTCCGTATCAGCTGGTATTTCCCAAGTAGAAACTTGTCTGTTCTCCTTTCACTGTAGACTGTAGAGAAGTCTGGTTCCATGTCCTCTGTAAACCCACCCCCAAGTAGCAGAGCAGCTAAATCCTGTTTTTGCCTTCTCTTTTCCATGCTGAACAATCCAGGTTTCCTCAGTTTCTTCCTTTACAGTGTTGTTGGCTACAACTCCCTGGTGATCTCAATGGCTTCTTCTGGACTCCACAGGTTTGAGGGGTTTATTTGCAGCTAGTTCCATAAGACCTGAGTATTTGTTTTTGGTATTCTGCATTCACTGAATAATTTCCCTTCCTAAATGGGTGATAATAAAAGCTTCATTGTTCCTTATGTTCTTTCCTCAAAGCTGGAGGAGAGCATGGTGTAGGCAAAGACCTGCACAGTGACAGAAGATTCCTTTCATCCTCTGTCCTTGGGGATGAGGCACTACAGCAGTTTGCGTCCCTGTGAGTTCACCTTGAGCTCTGTCCTGTAATTAAAGTGAAACAGGAAATAAGTCATTCTATCTTACAAGTCTAGCCCAGCAAAAACTGGGGCTTTTAAAAGCACTTTCTGAGCTTAGAGTGTGCCTTGCAGTACTCTTCCTTTTCCTGAATGTTTATTTTCTTCTCCACAGTTCAGTTGGCTCAGCAAGTCAGACGAGCAGAAGGATGAGTCACCTTCGTCGTGGCGGCTGGGCCTGAGGAAGACTGGCAGCCACAACATGTTGAGTGAAGTTGCTGCCACTCGTGAGGGACAGAGGGATAAAACGTCTTCTATCTATCGCTCCTCGTCCAGCCCTCGGATATCTGCACTGTTGGACAACAAGGAAAAGGTTTGGCTTTCAGCAAGGATGTTTCAGTGTATCCATTTTACCCCACAGGTGTAAATTCTTTCCCTTTGAGTTATTGCTGGGGTTTGTATCCTAACAAATGAGGGTCTCTTTCATTCTTACCTTTTTTTCCTTTTGAAAAATACTTTCCTCCTGTCAATTGTTTCTCCAGAGCTGGAGTTTGGTGCCCCTTTGGCCTAATTCCTATTCAGTTTGGACCGGGCTGCCACTGAACAGGGACTGCCAGTCTGTCACAGCCTGTTCTTTACCAGAAAATGTCCAATCAAGACAACAGCATATACCTGCAGTGGAGATTCTCCTTCTCCATCATTTATATGGATTCCTCCTCTTATCTACCAGCTGCATTTGTAAATCCCATCCCATGCATTCAGTAACTGTAACTTTTCTGCCCATGGGTAGATGCCTCATCCCTGGAGGTGTTCAAGGCCACCTTGGATGGAGCTCTGGTCTAGTGGACTAAAGATCCCTTCCAACCCAAACCAATTCTCTGATTCTATGATTGCCAAGTTATTCTATAAGTTAGAAGATGCTTTTATTCACTACCATGGTCATCAGGAAATCCCTGTCAGAACTGATACTTCTATGATGTGGTATGTTGGTTTAAGCAACATGAGAGAAAAAAGAAATGGCTTTAAACCAGCTGATAGAAGAATGCTTTCTTAGTTGAAGAAATTTGAACATGAATTTATTTACCACTGAATGTGGTGGAAGGGTGAAAGATGTGTAGCTGAAGTTCCTCTTTTGCTTCACCAGGATAGAGACAACAAGAGTTATCTTGCCACCATAGTGCCCAGAAGACTGAGCAGTATGAGTGATACAGAAGAAAAAGAAAACAGGTGAGACTGGCTGAAGTTAATGCTCAGCTTCCATCCTGTCAATAGTACTTCTGGAATATAATTTTTCTGTAGTCATGCTCTGTATATTTTCTCAGCAGTCTCAAGTACACAGGAATTCACAACATCAAGAGCCAGCTCTGTCTATAAAAGTTCTGGTACGTTGGTTTTCATTTAGGTGAGCAGGAATCAGCAGACTGGTTCCTCCACCTCTGTGCTCACACAGGCACAGGCTCCATTCAGACAACCAGATTTATGGATCCTTTTTTCCTTTTAATATGCAAGTGCCTCATTTTGTAGCTGCCACCTGCACTTGTAGTTGTCACTTGCTCAGCAGTCACCTTCAATCCCTTTGTTCACACCTCTCACTTGAGATTCACTTGAGCTTGTGAACTCTCCCATGTAGGAACTGTTTTATTGCATGGCTGTTTTTACAGTCGGTGTGTGTAAATGATCGTGGTCCTAACTATGGTGTTAATGGTGTGTGTATGTCCAGGAATTCCAGATGTATTTGAGGAGCTGGTCTCTACTAGCAGCTTCTTCAGGGGCCTTCCAGTGCCTAAAGCGCTCCCAGAGAGCTGGAGAGGTACTTTGGACAAGGTCATGGAGTAACAGAACACAGGGGAATGGCTTCCCACTGCCAGAGGGCAGGGTTAGATGGGGTAATGGGAAGGAATTCTTGACTGTGAGGGTGGGGAGGTGACCAGAGCAGCTGTGGCTGCCCCAAGCCTGTAAGTGTCCAAGACCAGGTTGGATGGGGCTTGGAACAACCTGGGCAAGTGGAAGGTGTCCCTGCCTGGGCAGGTATTAGGACAGGATGAGCTTTAAAGTCTCTTCCAATCCTGGCCATTCTATGATTCAGTTTGTACTAGAAGGAGTAAAATTTGACCTTGGCTGCAATTCCAGCTACTTCCCAAGAAAGGAGGAAAGGCACTTGCAGAACTGTAATTGCTGGGCAGGAGTTGTGGCAGATGACACCCTGAGAGAATTTCAGCACAGCTTGAGAATCTTTGCTGATCTTTGGCTGGAACCTCCCTGCTGTGTTCTTGTTCACTCTCAGGCAGTCTCTGAGATCCAGAGTTTTGCAGACAATTTGTGTCTGTTGATCAGCTCAAGAAGGTTTGGCAGAGGTTGCTTTCGAGTGGCACATCCTGCTGTAGGAGCTGATAACTGTCCTTTTCTGGGTGGAGCTGGGACTGGCTGAGGAGTACTGGCCTTCAGGAACAGATGTGCCCAGGCATGCTGTGTAGTACAGTTTTTTTCCCAATATTCTTTCCTTTCAAAACATTTTGGTCTTTCTTTCTGGAACCCACAGGTGTCTTGAGAGAGCATTGGTCTAGGCATGACAACTGGAAATGAGAAATAATTGCATGCTGATAGGGGAATGGAATTAGTGCTGCATTGCAAGCTCCAGGTCCTGTCCAGCACCAGTAGAGAGCAGGATACACTGTCAAAGTGTGCATTAGCATTAGGGAAAGAGCCCTGTTTTCAGATAACCAGGGTAAACAGGACTACTGGGAATTTCTTGATAACTTGTCAAGTAGCTTTAGATACTGTAAATATTTTGTTTGTTGTTTTATGCTTCATGATTTTGACCTGGTGGTGCTGGGTTAATTGTTGTTAATGATCTTAGAGGACTTTTCCAAGCCTAATGATTTTGTGAAGGGCTTTGCTGTGCTGAATTGCTTTTGTCTTTGCCTATATATCTTGAAGAATAAAAGCTTCCTTGGAGTTCCAATATCTGCCCATTTATTTATACCTTGTTTTTTGATACAGACAGCAGTGAGAATATTAAATTACACTATTTAATATGTTAAATTACTTTTATGGACAATCTGAGTTTCATTTGCAAGTTTTCTGACTAAAAAGGATTTTGTTCCTCTTTATGCAAAATATTACATCATCTATGGTTCTTAAGTGAGCTGGCAAGAGCAGGAGCTGATGTTAAGACCAAAGCAGGTGTTTCTCTGAGCTGTGTCACCTGAACAATGAAGCATGTAGGTGTAAGGAAAGGATCTGTGTTGTGAAACTGTGAAGGAACCAAAGGCAGACTGCAGAGGTTTCTCTAAGCAAAGCCTGTGCTCTGTCCTGCTGTAGGGAATCTGCTGTGAACCTGGTGCGGAGCGGCTCCTACACCCGGCAGCCCTGGAGGGACGAGCCAAAGGGAAACGAAGCTCCCCACTCTGGTGCACCCACTACCTATGTATCCACCTACTTGAAAAGGTATGTTCAGGCCTGTCTTCTGTGTGTTCTCAGGCAGGCAGAACCACTCCTAATATGTCTCCCAGAGCTCAGCCTCCTGCTTGTTACCTCCTGCATCTTGTAACTGGCCTTGGGACCCTCTTCTGCTGAGAGCAGGAAAGAATAGATTTTTTATATTTGTCATGCTAAATAGTGTTTTTAAAGGCTATAATTTTTATTAATTTGCAAATTTCTGGACTGAATTTAAATACTCTTCTTCCCATAATTCAATAGCAAAGTTCTCTCTGCTTAATGCTAGTGTTACGGTTAGAGAATAAAAGTGAAATTGGTCATAAAAACAGATTAATAAGAGTCCAAAATAATTATTCTGATAGCTCTTGGTGAGTAAGTTATAGTTTATCTCTAATTTTGGTTTGTATTAGTCCATGTTTATAGTATTGCCAGAAAGTGGCAGTGATCTTGTGCATGATGTACAGCACTTGCTAAGCAGTAAAACTGATGCTTCCACTGTTGTTTCATAAGGCAGTAAGGAAGCAGTTTCTTCACAGTGTGTGTGAAGTTGTAGAGGCTGATTATTGGTGAAGGAGCCAGGAAGAAGCAGGAAGGCAATTCCAGGCAGAGCTCCTGTAACTGCAGTGTCCTAGACCCCCTGGGAGGCTGAGCCTCGGTGTCCTTGAGGTGCCACCTAACAGCTCTCTCTGAGCTGAAGCAATGCCCTACTCTGGTGAGGCAAATAGTACATTGCTGGGTTTTCATGTGAGCAGGAGGATCAGCAGTGCCAGCACCTCACCTTTATTTCAGCTGATACTATAGACCATCAAAACAGCCTGTAATAAAGATGTCACACTGCAAAGCCATTGTGTTTCTGCTTAAGGAAAACAGCGGCAATAGCTTGAAGTTTTAGATTGAGTTTCACAAGATTCTAGACCCTGAACTAAATAACTGTCCTGAAGATGGAACAATTGCTTGAGATGCTTGGAAGGAGGCAATTTGTTCCAGTGTTTATTCTCTGATAATGTAGAGGTAAGTGGTGCTCAAGGATGTGTGTGGCCAGTTGCTGAGCATGTACAGATCCATTGCCACAAAAGGTGAAGCAGCCCCTTCAAGCAGAAGCTTCTGCTCTGCTGCTCTGTTCCGGTGGCTTCACAGCTATCCTGGGACGTGATGACAGCCCAGCCTCCATGGCTTGTCTCTCTCTGAAGCTGGTCTGACAAGCTGCAGCTGATTACATTGGAAAACTTTTGCCTCTTGCAGCTGGCACACCTGTGCTGCTCCCTGAGCTGAGGGACAGCCCAGTCACCCCCAGACAATCTTACAAACATTGCTAGTTTATCCCAGCTAATCCTGCACCAGATTTAGTGTTGCACTCACACAGTTATACTGTATTTCCTTGGTTAAACCGTACAGAGTGGGGAAGGTTTAGGCTGCATTGGGATGTCACAAATACTGAGTTCTTGTCACAAAGGCTGAATTCTGGCCTTTCATAGGAGAGTGACTGGTTCACTGGAAGGTACAGAGAATACCTTTGTCAGGAAGGAATATATGTGCTTTTAAAGGAGACATCAATGGGTTTGCATTTCATATACAAATGGTAAAACCATGATCAATTAGACCTTTGTCCCATATAGTTTTCTGTAGGAGAGCACAGAGAAATTGAATACAATTGTATTGAACTTTTGATTTCTCCAGCCTTGTGCATCCACTCCTAAGATGAGAAAGGAACCTGGTTAGACATAAGCATTTTGTGATTTCCAAGTATTAGCAAAACTCCAAACCCAACTCCAAAAGGTCAAAGCTTCTTCTTGGAGAGGAAGAATTCAAGGGAATATGCCATTCTTGCATGTCACTGAGGGGATGACTGTATATATCTGCAGCTCCCCTTTGCCTCAGCATTTGACTAATCTCCATAAAAATCACAGTCTGGTTTGGGTTTGGAAGGGACCATAAATCCCATCTCCTTCCAACCCCTGCTATGGGCAGGGACACCTTCCACAAACCTGGCCTTGGCCACTCCCAGGGATGAGGCAGCCACAGCTTCTCTGGGCACCCTGTGCCAGGGCCTCACCACCCTCACAGGAAACAATTCCTTCCCAATATCCCTTCTAACCCCTAGTTATGTTCTTTAAGTGCTTTATATGACGCCCCAAACATAGACTGAACAACAGCAGCAGATCATCTTAAGATGGGGGAAAAGCTGGGGTTTTTTTTTCTTTTTTTTTAATAAATGGGAACAAAATAACTTGCAGCAATGTTACAAATATTCTTCATCTTTCATTGAAGCATATATTGATGCTCTCTCTCTCTCATGGTACTGGCAGTTGTTGTGCTTTCTCTGTGTGTGCCACTGGCCCAGAAATCTACAGAACCTTGTTCTAATATCCTCGTGTCCATTTTAGTGCATACTGGCCTTCAAAAATCCAGGTCGCTTTGACTGTAAATGAAAGGATGTGGAGAAAAACTGGCATAGCAAGTTGGATTAGTTCAGCATCCTGCCTTAAACATCAGCCAGAAGTGATGCCTCCCCAGGAAGGGCTCACACTGGAATGAAATCCTTCAGCCACACAGCTTCTCCATCATTTCACATTTATGCAAATACTCCTTGCTGGTTCTGGTCACATAAAAGTTATTGCAGTGAGCCAGGACAACAGTCCCTGCAGCGCAGACTCTGTTTCTGACAGCAGCTGCTTTTGAAAGAGAAGTTGTAAAAGCCAGGATAACTTCAGAGCAGTTTGCTACCTCTCAGGAATTTAGGAGCCAGGGGTTATATTTAACCATTGTTCTTAATAGCCACCACTGCAGCCAACTTCCATACCCACATCCTAGTTTGATCTCTGCAATACCCCCTGGCAGTGTGTTTAAAAAAATAGTTGTGTGCTTTGTGCAAAACTTTTTTATTACCACATGTGGAAGCTTTTTAGGAGTGTTAAGGTTCTTAAGTAAAAGTTTTTAATGCTTTTAAAATATTTCTTAGTCAGAAGTTTGTTTTTTTTTTTATTGGTTTGAAATGTTGCTTTACATTTCATTGCCCATTCCCTCATGGTTCTGTTGTAGTGATAATGTTAGAGAATGAAGAGCAGTGTGTCAATGCCTTTTTTTATTTCTGATGTTGAATTATTCAGCATAATTTCATACTCCTCCCTTGCACAGACTCCTATGGACACAGCTGTTAATTAACAGGATTCCCTGACTAACTTTTATATTGCAATTTTCTGGTCCAGTTCAGATCAAATGTGAACAATGGACTAAATGCCTTGGAGTGCTGCTGACACTGTGCAGTGGCACCCATGCAGAGGTACAGGCTGGGAGGTGGATTCCCGCAGAGGTGGCAGTGCCTCGGCTCCCTTTGGAGCAGGAGTGTGTTCCTGGTGCCCAGCATCACATTCTCTGCCCATGTGTGTTGGAGCTGGCACAATGCCATCCCTGTGGCCTCCCTCTCCTCCTCCTCCTTTCCTCTTATCCCCCATGTCACTGCTGTCCCAGGCACCTGGTGCTGCTTCCATCCTCACCCATTGCCTTTCCCTTTCTGAAAAATGATCCTTGTCAGGGCTTTCTGATACCAGTCCTGCATCCTCCTTTCCTGGCCGAGTTCCTTCTCTCTCTTGCAGCCACCCTTGTGCCCCAGCCTCTCTGCCTTTGGCTGTGCTAGGATGGTGCCACATCAGCTCTGTGTCCCCTAGGGCTGCCATCACCTTTTCCCCTGCTGATCCTCTCCTTCCTTCCCCAGACACAGGCTCTCCTGCCTCCTCTCCTTACAACACTCATTTATGCAACTCCATGGCCGCTTGCTCCACCTGCCCACCCCAGCCAGGCTCCTCTTCCCACTCCCACCCTCCTCCCAGCCCATCACCAGGGCTTGGCTTTTCCCTCTGGAGCAGAGAGCCAAGAAGGGAGGGGCTTGCTTCCAGCAGGGCTTCCTGCTCCTGCATGCTCCAGGCAGAGCTAGCATTCCAGAGAAAGCTCTGTTTAGGGTCTGGCAGAGGTTGCTACCTGGTGACAATGACTTGCTTGTTCCTGTGTGACCTGGATATGGCCGGCAGCCATCAACTGAGGAGCCCAAATGGGAGGTTCCTCCCTGTGGAGGCCTTCCAGGATGCTCTGTTGTCCCCTTTGGCTCCCCAGGGACCAGCTGCTTATGCTGGGCTTGCTGGGGGCCTTGGCATGTAAAACTGGCTTGTAAATTGGGTGCCTGGATGAACAGGACTAGATCCTGTCCTTGGATGTGGTCCTGCCCCTTCCCAGTGCTATTTCAGCCTCAGGCTGCTCTCTGGATTTTTACTCTAGAGTTGACTTCCAGTTTCATTCTGTTGTCCCTGGCTTTCCCTAAAACCTGCAGCTCTGTCCTGCCCTGCTTCTTTCCTCTAGGTCAGCTTTTATTCCTGTGCAACCACTTTGGTCCTTGTGCCCTGCCATGGGAACCATTAAGATGCAGGAGGTGAGAGCCAGCCTTCCTAGCCTTTGATCCTTCAGACAGTCCAGTCTGAGCAGTAGCAAGCAGGCATGCCAGATGCTGGGAGAGGTGTGGCAGGGCCCTAGGAGCCACTGGATTGCTCTGTGCAGACAGTGAGCAGCTTGTGTGCAGGGCTTGGACATGTGCAAGAAGGAGATTCTGCCAGATTTCATCAACTCTGTTTTCAGAGATATGCAGCTTTTCCCACTAGAATGGATTTTCTGTCCCATTAGGGCAGATTTTCTCTCCCCTTGGGCTGGATTTTCTTTGGAAAAGTGAAAGGGTCCATTCTTGTATAGGAGCCCTTCTTTCCTCTTCTGTCTTCTCCAAAATATTAACACAAACACAGCTTTTCAGTAAGATTGGTTTTCAGGGCTTGCTTTAAACTGGCAAAATATTATTTCCCTTGCTCATTCTTGAATATTTTTGGACAGCTGTACTAGCTATTTTCCAGAAATACAGTTTGTGCCAAACATGTCTTAGAGAGAATTAAAGCCTGAACTGATCATCTTTGCCAAAACTTTAAGCCACTGGGAATAAGTTCTTAAAACTGGAAGTTCTGGACATCCTCAGGAGTGATACAGCCAGACCAGCTTTTGTCACTCTCCTTTCCTGCTTTAAGCATCCTCATCCTCACACCTGCCTTTCCCCAGGGCACAGGGTGCTCCATATGCCCTGCTTTCACTGCAGCAGGGTGTTTTCCTTCCCTGATCCTCCCCAGCTCCCCATGCCATTGTTCTCTTGCTGGAACTGAGCTGGGCTTAGCTAAGCAAGGCTCTGCTGGCACTGGCCTGTGTGGGTAACTGGTGACAGCTCTGCTGCTCTCTGATCTCCTTGCACACGTTTTGCTGCCATGTGGTACCTGCTCCCGTCCCAGCTGCCAGCCCAGCTGTGGGATGTGCTGTTGAGTATTTACTGTGCTCTGAAGGACGTGATTTTGTGATGTTTTACAGTGCTTCATTTGGTAGAAGTAGTGACCTGAGCAGTCCCTACATTTCAGCCAGTTGCAGTCCATCTCTAGCTACCTCACCCACTGCCATTGGCTCATCTACCTCCCCGGGCACCCCGTGGCAACCTGTCTCTTGCTGTCCCACATCTCTCGGTGTGAACACTCCTGCTTCAGCCTGCCACAACACCAGGTAATGGCTCCTAGCGGAGACAGTGCTCCAAAAGTCAGTGTTTGGGTTGGAAGTTCTGGAGTGGATTAGGGATCGGAGGTGTGCTTCCACATGGGGCATGCTGATAAGCAATTCCAGAATGATAAGCAATCCCAGGATGGTGGTGTTGGACAGTCCCAGTGGTGGGTGTGACTGGCAGGCAGGTGACAGCCCACAGTGTGTCCCTTGTGCCCTCTCTCCCTGTGACACAGCACATGCTCAGGCTGCCCTCGGGTGCTCAGTGTACAAGTTCTTGGAGCTCCTTCCTTCTGCTTTTTCACCAGGTACATTTTTCTGATAATTTTTGCTACTTACAGGGATGCGAAGGCTATTAATTCCTCTTGCTCATTCTTCTCCAAGTTTTGTAAAATTCATTTTACTGTGGCTATTCTCTACAAACACGAGTGTAAAGCGAGGAGGATGAACTGTCCATGCTCCGTCGAAGAGGCTGGACTTGGTCAGCACTGGAGTTCATTTGCTTTGCTTTCCATATGTCTTCTCTATTTCAGAGCCCCTTTCAGGCAACAAACTGATTCTGCTGTAGAGAAAAACACAGAGGGCAGCTGTGCCAGCACTCCTCTAGGTGTAATCACAAACCATGCTGTGCTCGGCGCTGCCAACGGCACCGGGAATGCCGGGGCTGCCTCCGCCCCGGGGAAGGACCTCTCGGCTGAGGAGGCCAGGGAGCGCAGAAGGTCAGTGAGGAGTGGGCTCTGTGGCCCTCTCCATGGGCAGCTCTCACATGGTGGTGATGGTGGGGGTGTAAGAACTGGTTTTTAGATGTTACATGAAGTTCCTGGGCTGCTGTCCCTACTCTGTCTGAAGGTTTTGAACTGAATCATCACTGGCTTGTAGGTTAAATTTAGTTTCATAATTTTCTACTTGTCTCTTCAGCACCTCAGGCTTTTTCTTCAGTACTGATCTCAGCTCCTAATCTCAGCCCATCCCTGCGTGTTTGCAGGGATGCACAGCAGAGCAGCCACTCACAGTGGGTTCTGTAAAATGAATCCCATCCTAAAAAGACCATTGCACTGAGATACATTCAAATAAAATCTGTCCCTCTGATTCAGCTCAGCTGTGTTTACTTATGCCCTGATGGAGAAGTTTGTGCTGCACAGATCTCCCAGATTCCCTTTGCAGTGAGTGGGAGAAATCAAACATTCCTGGGGTGTGTAGGGGTGTAACACAGTAGGAGATGGACTCCAGCAGCAGGTACAGCTTTGACTGACTGGAAAGGCCAGAGGCAGGAGACTGCCATGTGCAGCTGAGGCCGTTCCAGAGGCCGTTCAAGTAGTAGCAGCAGTGGGAATGACTCTGACTCCAGCTGGTGGTATCTCTTTCTTATCACATGGTGTTATTTTAAGACTGGGGAAATACAAACAGACAGAGCTCTTTTCAAAGGAGCTCTACCCTGTGCATTAATTACAGAATATGAAATGATCCATATATTCTTCCTGCAAACAGATTAACTTTTCCAAAACCTGTCTCTTCTAATGCCATCAGTAAAAGCAAATAGTAATAAATAAAATACAGTGGTGAACTGGGTGTTTCTAACCAGCAGTGAGTTCATGCAGAGTACGTGGTGCTTGGATTCTTCCAAACTGTCATAGTGATTTATTGAAATACAACCCTTCCTGAGTGCAGATAGTGCTCTGACACATCTGAAATGGCCTGAGGCTGAAGGATGGCAAAAGCAATAATGGGAATTATCAGCCTACAGGGCTAAAGGTGATGGGGTGGAGCTCATGCTCAACTTCACCTGTAGCACATCCAAGCAAGGTGGGCTATGCTGTTGGAAAATACTCAAACTTGTAATGTTGCTTGGGATTTTTTTTTTTTCCCAGAGCTTGCTCAGGGAGTACTTGGAAGGTATTAAGACATTCAGGAGGAGCCATCCAGGAGTTCATCAGCTTTGTGTGCAGGCACAATTTGCACTAGCTACTGCAGGGTGTCTTTGGTGTGAAAACACTTGGGTTAGCCCTGGAAGTGCCTCTGTGTACTCCTGTTGCATAATTGGAGGTCACTTGGCTTGGGGTCATTTGCAATTGAATCGAGATGAGCTGCCAAAAGATAACTGCCAGTGCCCAGTGAGGTTGTGCAAGAGGACAGAATGAGTATTGTGCTCTCAGTTTTCACTAAAGACTTTTCACAATGGGCTCTCCATTTTAGCAAGCCCAGAATTGAGTTACAGAAGCAGGTTTTTCCCTGCTCAAAGTCCCCCCAGACTTCTGGCACTGTCTACAGATAAAGAACTTGACTGGGATAGTTACTTGTAGATGTTCAAAAAAGCATCCATTAATATTACTGCATTGGCATTTACTGCCAAATCTGTTTCTATAAATAATACAGAAGATCTTTGTCTCCTGCATTTTTATTCGAGAATCCTCTCCTGTGAATTATGGTAATGTAAAGAGAAAACACCAGAAAATTCCTCCCACCTTTAACTGATGCTTTGAAACTACTGAGAGGAAAAAAAGCCCAGAAATGATGCATCGTGCTCATGGGGGAGGAAACCTTACTGATGAATGTACATCTTCACAGTGGGATAAAGTGGCTGGGAGCTACCTGCACATTGGAACTAGGGTCTCACATCGATCCAGGGAGATAGGAGAAGTCACCTAAGCAAATAGAAGCTTATTAGGGAAGGACAATTTACAATTCCAGTAAAATAAAAAGGCAAATGGCAAACAGTTGTCAGAGCAGTGCTGTATGGATTTCAGTTCCCAGTGGCAGCTGTTGCAGGAGTGCTTGGGCTGCTTCGGTGTTTCCAAAGCACCAGCTTGCTCTTAGCAACAAAAACATAAACAGGCTGATCATCTAATTTTAGATCACAGGGATATCTCTGAACTTGTGGCCTTAAAATTATCTGTGTGAAGCCAAAAGGTTAAAGCAGAAGAGGCTGCTTAGGGCTGGGAATGAATGACTGGCATAGTGCACTGGAGTTCTGGTTTGCATCCTGTGGTGGCCAATAAGCCTTACCCTGCCCCACCACAGTTTGACCCATGGTGGTTCACCTGCTCCTTGTTTTCCAGCTGAACTGGTCAGGCTCCAGTCAATGCTGGGAAATAGTGTAAATTACAGGGGGAGGAAAGAACAAACAGCAGAGGGGCCGTGGAGCAGAGATCTGTTTGGGGCCTGCAGTGCCATGTGGTGCCAGCTGGTCCGGACTGGGGCCCGGCTGCCACCACGTGTGTTCCGTGTGTCCTGCTGCACATGCCATCTCCCGTGTGTCCTGCTGCACATGCCAGCTCCTGTGTGTCCTGCTGCACATGCCAGCCTCCCGTGTGTCCTGCTGCACATCCCAGCCTCCCGTGTGTCCTGCTGCACATGCCAGC